ACGTCAGTTTCCAAACAAAAAAGAAAACAGGTGTCCTGGAATTCAAATACTAAAAAATATGCTAAGTATACCTCAGCAAGGACCCCTGCAATCCCGTCTAGGTCAAGGGTGCCGACACCCCTGACCGCCTCCCTTTCAGCTGGAGGTACGGCCTTGATCATGGACTTGGCCACTTCGACCAAGTCAGGCTTCTGAGGGCCGGCTGCATCAAGCATAAACAAACGGATTAGACCTAGTAAAGAAGGGAGCAAGTCTAAAATTTACAAGGACAATTTCATACTTCTAGGTGGCCCAGCTGGAGTTTTAGAAGAAGTGGCCGGCTGTTTCTCAGCCGCCGCATGTTTCCTGGCAGAACCAGGAGAGCTCGCAACAGTCGTCCTCCGGGCCTTGGGGTCCGGCTGTTGGGAAAAAGAAGCTCTTGGAGCGCCCGTCTAAAAAAGAAGAAAAGAGTCAGTATATGCATAAACACAACTCCAAAAAGAGGGTGAAAGGTTCGAAGCCCACCAAGGGTGCCCCCTTGTTGGGGGAGTCGGTTGAAGACTGTTGCATGATGGAGGGCCGCAACATGGCCGCCGCAGTCTTGGAGGCGGTAATTTTGCTCATGGCGTCCGCTGCAAAAACAAATAGCAAAGTTAATAAAAGTCATAACAAGAAATGCACGGAACAACAGAGTATTCGACAGGCCGGCTACCTCTTGAGCACCGACTGCTGAGGCCACAAGCGGCCAAAAAGTACTCGTCGTAGAGCCATTTGAAGCTCGGGACGCAGTGCAGGGGTACTTGCTCTCGTACCCCTGAAGTAGAGTTCACCTTCGACTCTACTTTGAAGAGTCCTTTATCTAGGATCTCTTTCTTAGCCTTGGGGGGAACAGGCGGCATGCTGCGGCCGCCTGCAAGAAGGGGCGGATTCCTGTTCCACCTGTTGAAGCGCTTGTTTAGCTCTGTGTCTGAACTCTCAATGATAAGGAAGGTGCTCCACCAGTCCTTCCATTTGTTTGCTTTACCTCTCGTCATGAGGTAGCCCCTGTGGCTCGTCAATTGATACCAGCCGGTACCGCCTGCCTTAGGGGTCCGGATGAGGTAGTTCATGTGGGCAAAATCCTTGAAGTTCGGCTCCACCCCGTGCAGTTCGCACCCGGCCACATAGCCGAGTACGTTGACCCAGGAGTTCGGGGCTAACTGTCATAACCCCAACTCATACCCATCCAAGATCCGCTGAACAGCCGGATGTAGTGGGAAGCGCAGCCCAGCCTTGATGGCCGCCTCGTAGCAGCCAAAGCAGGCGCCATCATAACTGGTACCAGCCGGCCAGACGACTGTGTCTTCTGGATCCGGCACGAACACTAAAAAGCCGGGGCCCATTGTGTGGTTTGCGATAAAGCTCTCCACTTTCTCTTGTATGGCCGTGATCCGGCCCCGAGGTACCGTGCAGTAGTAGGGGGTATTTTGCTCTCGGTGAGAGGCGGATGGCTCCGCCCAATTGTCCCCCTTCTCAACTGCGTGAGAAAGCCTCGCCTCTTGTAGGCGACTGTTTTTCTCTTCTGTGTCCAGAGAAGCATGGCCAGAAGAGCTAGACTCGGAATCGTCCTTTGACGAGTCCGAAGAGGACGACTTCTCCCCTCTCCCGGAGGGGCCCGCCTCCTCTCCTCTAAAAGGAGCAAGAGAGAATGTAGAATTGTCAACTGTAAAATGGGAAGGGGTCACTTTGACTCCTCCCTCAGAACTGCCGGCTTTCAAGCCGCTTTGTTTCACTTCCACATCTGGCGCCTGGTCAGATGTTTCACTAATCGGCACCCTGTGGGAGGAGCCGTCTGAGTTTGAGATCCTGGCAGTCTTTTTTGTTCTAGCCATCATGCTCTGCATAGACACATATATAGTCGGACTTTGTATAAAGGGCAAAAATGGGTCCAGAAAAGGGCAGACGGCACTCCTAGTCCTAGATTCAGCCGTCCCCGGTGACCGGCTGATCACTAACCTAGGTCGTGTCGTGTGCTTCCGTGGTGCCATTTCAAAAAAGAATAAAGTAAAGAGAAAATTAAGAGTAAGAGATTCGACGGTTACCTGAACGAGTGACGATTGATGAAGTTCTGAAAATCCTTTGCAGTCGGCTTGTCAGAGCAGGCGGTAGGCAGAAAGGGTCCAAAATGTCAGAGCAAGTTCAGGGGTCCGAATGTTCTCTCACAAAGTTTTCAAGTGTGAAAATGACCGAAGTCAACACTCCTTTATATAGACGGAGTGAGAAGGCGAAGGGTCACTTCCAGAATTCAAAATTTTGGCGGGAGAATCTCTCGGCCTCTCGCCGAGTGACATCTGTAGCAGGTCGTCGCCTGTTACAGGGCGACACCTGTCACAGGTAACACGTGACCAGTCACGTGCCACCTGTGAGGGGCAAATGATTAGGGGATTTTGCTCCCACCAATCGGAATGCGCCACGTGGGCCAATCAGGTCCTGCCAAGTGTCCCCAAGTTGGACCTCTCAGGGCTTGCCACGTGGCACACGCCTATTCGTCCATCCTGGACTTATTATGTCATGACACGTGGCATACTCCATGCCTAATGGAGAAGCCGGTCACCTAGGCCCAACTTCCGAGGGAAGCCCAATCAGCCCAAGGTTAACCTAAACCTAGATTGGAACGTTTCCCGAGGTTATAAATACCTCCCTTAATCCTCATTAAGGGAAAAAACGCAGATTACACACATTAAACACTCTCACCTAGAGAGACCCAATCACTTTAATTTCCGCATTAATTACTCCTTAATCAAGTACTAACTTGACCGTCGGAGGCGAATCTCCAATCATCCGGAGCATCCGTTTGTTTTGCAGGTACAGGCGTCCGGTTCCAGTCTCGGAATTGTAACTCTCCCGCAGGACATCAGAAAACCCCGAAACACTAAGCATTACGGAATGTAATGGAGACTGGAAAGTACTCCCCTCTTTATGTATAGCCATCTACTATTGCTTATTTCTAATGATAGCCAACTTTTTTTTCGATTATCAATGGTAGCCTTATACTTTTTAAAAGTTGCAATCGTGACCTTATTTATTAAAAAAAAGGTTAAATAATTGTTAAGTGTAACTATAGTTAGTCAATTTCCCTTTCTTATACCATTTTTCTTTCTCCTTTCCTTTATCTTAATGCTGTCACCACAATTCTTCATCTCCTTCCCTCCACCAGCCTAACCACCCTCTCCCCCTCCCCTTTTTACTGTCGGCACTTGACCCAACCTTTCCCGCTGGAAACCAAGCTTCCCCCCGCCAGCGACTCTACCCTGACACCTCAGCCCCCACATCGAGGACCTTACCCATCCCTTTTCACTCATCCCGATGAAGACCTCCTTAGTCACCACTTCAAAGACCTCAAGAAGCGTTAGCGTGAAGACGTCGTTGCTGTTGCATCCCTCTTTATTCGTGATTTAGGGTTTATTGTCTTCGCAACTAAGAAAATCAAGGGTTTTGATGGTGGATTGAAAGAGTTATTAGAGAAGTAGTTTGGGGATTTAGGGTTTGGAGGGCTTGGCCGGTAGTGGGGGAAAGGGGATGAGCGTCGCCACTAAAGGAGGAGGGGAGAGGGTGGCTAAGCTAGTGGGGGTGGGGTGGTTTTCTTGTAAAAAACTATTTATTTTTAACTAACCATGGTAAGTATTTTTTTTATAATTGAAATAGTTAACCTTGGTTTAAAAACTATTTCCCACACTACAGTTCACATAGTCTCGATTTTAAGGTTCGCTATTTGCAAGTATAAAACTGCTAACATTATTAGCGGTACTAGTAATGTAGAACCTCTAATGGTATTAAAGGTTCTATGCATAAAACCTCTAATGGTATTAGCGGTTCTTTATATAAAACCTCTAATACCATCAGCGATTCTATATAATTTGGTTTTACCATTAGTGGTATTATATAATCTAGTAGAAGTGAAAAATAAAGCAAACGAGGTAGCTTCTACTTAGAATAGCTTGGTTTTATGCATAGAACCTCTAATGGTATTAGCGGATAGAACCTCTAATACCAGTAGCGGCCAATATTATTAACGGTTTTGTACTGCTAATTTCCAAACATATATAGGAACCTATCCTACGTGATGGTATTGTGGGAAATAATTTTTAAACCAACTTATATAAGGAATTAACTTGTATTTTAGCATTACTTAGGGGAATCACTCGATAAGTGTTAATGTATTTTGTGCACTGATGCATTTCTAAAACTCTTAGCTTATTCTAATACTACTAGTATGATGTTTTTTTTTTTTTATTATTATTATTATTTTGGTATTGTAAAATTGGATTCATGTTTCTAAAACTAATTGCTAAATGCTAATTCTTCAGATCAAGGGAAAAATCTAAAAACCTCTTTGATTGTAGTAAGACATTGATTGGATTTTCTGTTATTGTCTGCCGCATTTTTTTTTATTGTACCACATCACTTGTAAGTGCAATTACTTGTTTTATCATACTTGTAGCAATGTATGAAAAAGTATGAATTGGTAGATGTTTCAAAGGATCTAAATAAGTTTTATTTTACGTGGATCTAGGAGATGGAGGGATGATTAGCCCCTCCATCTCTCCCCGTATGATGGGGATTCAAACCTTATCCCCCCTCTTGTAATTGGAGGAGCTTTCCGTGTGCTCTACCTTTAAAAAAAGAATTTCATTCTACTTGGGATTATAAGGATGTCACTATATCTTGATAAGTTTCTTTATATCATCATCTGAATTCTTAAATATATTTGAGATAATTTTTACTACATCCGTTTCTTTATAGTTGCAACATTTCGTAATAGTTGCAACACACTATTCGTTTTTATGGTGAAATTTATATTATTACTTTTATTTAAAGTTGATGACCTACTTGATCATACTCTTAACAACCTCTTAACCCTATTTTAAGTGTATTATATCACGTGAGATCCACTTTTCTTAAATACCGTGATAAACTGTGTATTGCAAATATAAAGAAATGGAGGAAGTGTATGGTAAATTAGTTTGGGTAATAACTTAATCAAATTCCGTTTACGTCATTTATCTTCTCAACTCACTTATAGTCTGCACCAAGAGATTTGGCCGTTATTTCTTGGAGCAATTTCTGAAAAGTTTCCCTATATGGTCTGAATTTTGACAGGACGAAGAATGAGAGCTCAGTTATCCTTGCCAAATTTCACCTGATGTCAGCTTGTCTTCTTCATAATTTACAAATCCCAGAAATTTTAAGAAACCAGACAAATTAGAGGGATTATTGGAAAAAGAATCGAACTATCTCAATTCCTAAATACCCAAAAAAAAAATAAAAAAATTGAAAAAAAAAATGGGATCAGAAACCAACTCTCCAACACCGTCTCCAAGTGGGAAGAGAAGCAGAGATCCTGAAGATGAAGTTTACATCGATAATCTTCATTCTCATAAGCGTTATCTCAGTGAGGTCTCTCTCTTCTATTTTAATTATTTACTTTCAACAATTATAATTTGGGTATGAATGATTTTATATTGTGTATTTGCGTGTAATTGATCAAACGTGTCTGCTAGAATGTTTGTGTAGTAAATGCAAAACTACCTATGACCTATCTGTGTTGGATGGATAGATTCGGAATTCATGACAAAATCACGTGTCGATGTGTTATTATACTCATTACTCGACCATCCTTAAGGGGGTTGTTATCAATTTCCTAATTAATATATAGTAAAGAAAAGGTGAAGACTTTATTATGATGATGCTGGGGATTAGGGATTTTGATTTGTTTGCATACTTTCTGGTAGTGTAGAGCTCAGTAGTTGTTGTTCTTGTTGATTAGAGGGTTTGAAAATTGTGGGAATATTTTCAGATGATGGCATCAAGCTTAAATTGTTTGACTGTGGGTGACCCAATTCCTGAAAATCTGTTGGATTCTCCGGCGAGGTCTGAAAGCATGTTCTATTCAAGGTGAGGTGGTTTTTTGGGGTTTGATTTCATGCATTTCAGCATTAATGTTCAATAATCAAATGATTATTCTTGTTTCCCCATGTTAACTGCAACGTGCATTGAACCTTGTATTCCCGTGTTAGATATTCAATATTTTGACTTGAATATGGGCACTTGATGCTTCTGTTTACCTTAGTCTCACACCTTTACATAAATCCATGTTTAAATTGAGTAGCCAAAGTTGTTAACCTTTTGCAATATTAAATTGTGTGTACTTTGGGTGGATATTATCGTTTGTTACATGTGTTAATCTGTCCTGGCCTGATGATATATGTCAGTATGCAAGAATGCAAGGTGCTGACAGAGATTGCTCTGTTCCTGAAATAGTACGGATAATACGAAGTGTGTTTTAGTCGAGGAGAACTAGCATATCTGTTCTCTGAAACTTTTGGATCAATGGTGTAGATGTCCATCGGCCTCATGGGTAGATGATCTACCACACATCAACATCCCTATTCCCTAGGAGAGGTTTTTTATATGAAGTTTTGAGTTGGGTAAAATTTAGATATTTTTAATGGTGCAAATGAGGGACTAGTCCTGTATAAACTATAAGTAAAATGGAAATTAAACATGGCTAAGCCACCTCTTTAACGTCCTCATTAGTTATCCTACCGAGTGCTAGATAGGACCCTTGCAATTTGGTTCCTTTACACGAATTGCAATTTCACAGTGAATCTTAGGGTATCATACACATCTCTCATTATAAACCTTAATTACCAATTTGCGGAAGCAAAGTTTTCATTCAGGTCAAGTACCCTTGAGAGGGCCATGAGCTAGGCTTTAGAGAGGTGAAAGCTTTAAAGATTAGCAATGAAGGCTGAAGCAAAAGCAGCCAAGGTATTCCTTACAAGCCTTTGCCTTCAGCCAACAGTGGACTAACTTTCACTGCACTATTTAATTTTAGAGCCACCAAATCAGCTGGTGCCTGGAAGAACAACCCACCTTAAGAAGACTTCCTACCAGACCAGAACTCTTCTTCCATTAAAGTACTTTTCTCTCGAAAAACTTTTTTGGTTTCTTCTATACAGTATTACTAAAACAGCAAAGGGATTAATGAGTATATTCCTTTGCTTATTGCACACATAATATTTTGTTTAGATATTGAGATTTTCATTCATTCATGCTACAACAGTGCAAGAATAATCTGGATTTACAATACATGAGTGCATAATGTTATCTTGTCTTGTTAAATACATACGCTGGCAAGATTTAGCTAACTAATGCCGCGCTACACACCTCCTGCATACTAATGTTGATTAGTGTGTGCTTTTGGCCTTTCAAGCCTTGCAATGGAAGCATGAAAACCACTCTGCCTCTTTCTGTACATGACCAGAATAAACCACAGAAGATTTTCGTTCCAATTTCTGCTTATGTATAGAATTTTAATTCTAGAATCATTATGTCCTACAGTGAGGAATCTGAGGGTATCATACACTTGTTAAATTCACAAAAGGGTCTTTATACAAATTGCAATTTCCACAGTTTCTTTTTTCTTTTCAACTGGGAAATCAACATCTTATTTGCTGAAATAGTCATATGCCTAGAATGGGAGAGTTGACTTTAGGCACCTTCATGTAAATAGGTAGGATTTGTGGATGAGACATTTAAAAAGATATCTGTACATTCCAATTGTGTATGACCAGTTTTGCTTCTCCTTCTTATCGCAATAGAGAGGTATACAGGGCTAGTACTGATAATGCACGATTCCACCTCATTGGCATCAAGGATGGAAATGGAAACTACTATTGTTCAAACCTCAAAGTATGTTAAGCAGTAAATACTTGCCTTTATATGTGCAGCTTACGTATCACCTGGGGAGAACTATTAGGTAAAACCTAACATTTGATTTCCGCTCTATTAGAGTCACATCGTTGCCCTATCCAGCAAACTTAATCATCAACTCAGATTCCGATTGATTTTCCAACTATCATTTGTTTCTCTTTTTTGCAAAGTGTTTGGTCACTTGGTGTTTTGGAGATAATGTCATTCTGATTTATAACACTTTGATTCTATGTGTTATTATAATTTTCACCTAATATCGCTTTTCTAATCTGTCCAACCAAGAAAGAAGTAAGGAACAACCCTTGAATCCCTCATTTGTACGTATATATTATGAGTTTTGAATGCTTGATCTAATATTTGTTTACACTCATTGCAGAGATGAATTGTCCTCACAGTATTCACCCATGTCTGAAGACTTAGATGATGCACGATATTATGAAACTCCCATGAGTGCCTGCTCATCGCAATCTGAAAGCCGTCCTACTAGTCCTGTCTCCCCGTATAGATATAAACCAGTTGGTGCATTTTGCTCTAGTCCTCCTACCACCTCACAGCCTTCAAATGGGTGTAGTACCTTCTCAGGTTCTTCTCAACCTCGTCAGAGAGGTTCTGATACTGAAGGAAGATTCCCTTCTTCACCGAGTGATATATGCCACTCAGGGGACTTAAGGAAAGCTGCTCTTTTACGATCTGTGCAGATGAGAGCCCAGCCTTCATGCTCATCAACATTTGATCTAGGATTTACTGGAGCTCAAGAGGGAATGCAGAATGTTGAATCTGAAACTCGATCTTGCTCATTTTTGAAACCTTTGGATGATGAACGTGAGTACCATGATGAAGGATGTCCTGTCATACCTACTTCTGATCCTGAATTTGACGAAGGAAAGGATTCAATGGCATTGACTATGGTTGAAGGAGTCATATCTGTGGACTAGCTGTCATATGAAATCAGTTTATTGATATTAGTGTTTGGTGTCTGACGCTTGTACGGCCCACACATGAAGGTTTTTTTTTTTTTTTTTTTTCGGGGTTGGGTGGGGGGGGGGGGTTGGGGTTGGTGAAGACATATGAAGATTGTTGGTGCAAAGTTATCTGCTGTGGGATTAATGATGAGAAAAGCTATTAGCTGACCGCATATTTGAGACTCGTAATGCTGGAACAAGTTGGTTACCCCACCCCTAGTTCCATTGTAACAACAGCCTAGTATCAATTTCGTTGAGGTTAGATCTGGAGACGTCCACGTGTACGCTTAATTCCTAGATATGTTGTATACTTGTAATTAGATAACTGATGGAGGCCTTATTGGATTAAATCAAAGGGAGCTGTAACGCTGCTCTTTGTTCAAGATGTCAGACTGGCAAGTTGAATAGTTGATGTTTGCTGCTGATATTAATCATCAATTTGACTGTTGGAAAAACCTGTAAGTCCAATCTCATTTTTTTCTTTTCTCCTTGCATGGTTGGGACCCTGTTCTCTATTCTGTTCTTCATCTATTTCATGCAAAAAATGGCTTGGAAACTTCAGTGCCTGAATGTATGTTGATTTTTTTTTTTTTTTTTTAATTTTTTCCTGCCATCATGCCAGTCTTTGAGATTATTGATCTTATGATGGTAGCTGAACATAAGACTAATTGGTGACTAGCTTTAGATATATCCAAGGCTGTAACCTGCTCATTTGAAAATTTATCTGAACACAATCTGGTTTAGGGAATTTAGTGCACTGGCATGATAATGATTCATGAGATGCTGGAGCAGGTTATGGGTTAGGGGTTGAAATAAATCTATGGATGTGCATAATGGCAGAAATTCCAGTTTAAAGGTTGTGATTTGATGGTTTGGGATGTATTACTTTCAACTTCACCGAGAAATGTTGAGGTTGTATGTCAAACATGGTCTTTCAGCAAATTTTTGTTCTGAAGTTCAGTTGATTTAGGGAATATATCTAAAACCAGCAGACCTGTAGTGAGCCAATAAGGGTTTCCCTTTCTAATTGAAGGAGTTTTTTTGGCTTTAATTAAAAACTGCCCGATGTTTGTTCAATCTTCTGGTAAGAGAAAAACTTTAGAACTTAATGGACCTGCTCTAGAATTGCAATACAAGTTTATGAAAAGTACCCTTTCTACCTGCTTTTCATTTTGATGAAAGTGCTCACTACCACCTTAAGCTACTATGCCGGAATTAGACCAGATTCTTTTGTGCGACATTTGTTCCTTTCCCTCACTAGGCTGTTAAATTTTGGTAAGATATTTCTCTATACCTTTTCTCTACAGTTGGAACTCTCACTCACTCACCCCTTTTTTCTCTCTACTTCTGCTCAATTTCTGTGCCCTTAAGGAATGTTGGATGGATTTGCAATGGTCCAAGACCATGCAAAAAGTTGACTTTTTATTAGATTATTTGGGCTATTAGCAATTTAGCAGTTTTCTATTCTGCAAAGATAACTTTCAGTTTTTGGCATCAATTTACAACTTTACATAGAGTTCATGTAATTGCAGTTTGCACTGGAACTAGACACACAAGACCTCCTGTGCTTTCTTCATTTAGCCAAAAGGAGGAATACTCTGCTCATCTCTGAAGAAATTACTTGGATCAATTCTTCTCTTTGCCTTGGCCAACCTCTCGAAATTGTTCTTGAAATATTTGGTACCCCAAACTCTAGCTTCCAGATAGCTTGTAGTTCCATTAATCCCATTAATGCCCAAATCAAGGTCCCTATAATTAAAATAGGCAGTTCTTGGAGACTTAGAAACATATGGACTCATAAATGTATGAAGCATTCTCACCCAGTGAATATGCTTACTAGCTTCCTCAGCCTCATTCACCTTCCACTTCACTATATACTGTATGTTATATAGGTTTCCTCCTCTATGAGGGAAAGCTACTTGGGTTTCCGGTATGCGGTTCATCATCCCACCAAGTGGTTCCATCACCATGTAAGCCTCATCTACCTGTAATTGTCTCTCCCATGCTTGTTGAAGGGCAGTTTCAGGTATGATTTGGCTTACAAAATCAGATTTCGCCTTGAAGTAGCTCTTATAAAGTTGATGATCTCTGTCTAGGAGAACTTCCCTTGATGTGCCGCTTGGGTGCCCAGCAAAGTATAGAATTGATTCAATCCAACTCAGTTCTTTGCATTCTTTTGCCTCCACTCCAAGCTCTGGGAAGATTAGCTTCATTACTGAGATTAGGCTGTTGTTGCAAGTGAAAGAATTTCAGATAATGTCAGATTTCACTATGGAAATAGCAAGAAACATGCATTTATCTGTATACTATTCTTTTTATTTGCCTTTTATTTATTTATTTATTTATTTATTTATTTTTTTTGTACAACAATTATCAAGAATTATTCTGTACTTGATAAACTTTGGAATTTTGTTCTGCACAGAAGCTATCTCACTCAGAGTTCTGTTTCACTTCAATTACTTGAGTTAATATTCGACACTTCTTAGGTACATACACTGGATACTTTATTAGGAGTTTAGATCAAAAGCATTCAAAAAATTTTAGAAAATGACATGCCTTATATTTGGCCACGAGTACGTGTTCAACATTAGTAGTCGAGTCAAGTGCCATAGTTTGGATGAATATATCTCTGTACTAGTCTAGGTTTAAGACTGTATACTGGACCTTGTTTAAATGGTGGGATTTTGTGAGAAGACTTACTGGCCTTTGTTTGACCACAAAGGTCAACCAGGAAAATGATGTATTGAATAGACACTTGGTTGGCTGCTGTGTGCACAAGTAAGCAGGTGTATGAAAAAAGCAGACTTGTATATGCATGTTATTACTGATACCTCTGAACATTCCCAAGAAACATAGAGTTGAAAGAAGTTTGAACAGTTTTCTTTACACCGTAACTTCCACCACCCACATTCTGAACTATGATCCTAATGAACAGATCATCTGGCAACTTGTCTGCAATCCGTTGCCATCGGTCAACGAGCTTATTAGCACCTTGCTCAAGAGTTTTATGGACTGTAAAGACTGTTACAGTAAGTGGAACTGGAACCAATTTAATCTTCCATGCAGTAATCACCCCAAAACTTGCCCCTCCACCACCTCTAATAGCCCAAAACAGTTCCTCTCCCATTGACTTCCGGTCTAAAACTCGCCCATTCACGTCAACCAAGCGAGCATCCACCACATGATCAGCCGCCAGACCATACTTCCTTGTCAGAGCCCCGAACCCACCCCCACTGATATGGCCTCCGACTCCGACTGTAGGGCACACACCTGCAGGGAAACCATAGGTACTACTTCTCTGTGCAATGTTGTAATAGAGCTCCCCTAGCGTTGCCCCGGACTGAACCCATACCGTCTGATCCTCCATGTTGATCCTGATCTCGCGAAGGTGGACAAGATCGATGAGGACAAAAGGAGCTCTGCTCAGGTAGGATAGGCCCTCGTAGTCGTGCCCTCCACTCCGAACTCTCACCTGAAAGCCATGCTCTCTGCTGCAGAGGACAGTAACTCCAATCTCAGGTTCCTGAGATGGGGTGACTATGTAGAGGGGTTTAAAGGCCAAGGTGGAGTTCAGCCACCTTGGGTTTTTCTGTGATTTTAATAATAGGGAGGGGTATAAAGCTGATTCTTTTGTATAAACATTAGTAGTAGAAAACTTAGATGCCATGCATTGAAGAAAATCTTTGGAGTTTATTGGTTTAGTAAATAGCAAGATCATAAGCAGGAAAACTGTTGTTCTCAATGATGATGCAAAAGCCTTAAGGTTATTCATCTGCAGTTTTTAGGTGCTGAGACTTACAGATTGTTAGTGTCTGAAACTAGGTGAATATTATTTGAGAGCTGTAAAGTTGGATTATTTGGATGATAGATATCTGAAGACTAACTGCCTGATCTATTTATTTGGATTCGAGCAGTAATGGTTAGGAAATTTATGTGAAAATCATGCCTCGTTTTGTATAATTAATTTTCTCAACTATACTAGTTTGATTTAACATATGTAGACATTATGTTAAGGTTTTGTATATGCTTGAGTACACACAAGTTCATTTGACGGCGTATGCGATAAAGTTATGATGTCATCAAAGTTGTATTTTATAATGTAATGCTGAAGCTGGGTAGTTTGAGCTACATTTTTTTTTCTGAACGTGCTGTTAGGCTGAATATCCGCCGTGACCTTCTCTTTCCAAACTTCGATCTGTCGCTCACCCCTCGGGGAGGGGGTGTAACTGAGTGAGTGATCTACCTGCAGCTTATGCCATGCACACTTGTTCCATGTGTTGAAATTGCTTCATGCAACTGCGCATATATGCGTATCTCGGTATCTGTCATAGGGAAGATCTTGAGCATTAATGTTATTTTCTCTGTTGATTAGTAATTGTTGGGCACAAAGTACTACAAGCTCTTAGGAAGAATCCAAAGGACATGTAAGCAATGGGAGTAATGTTGAGTTTGCTGATGAGGAATGTGTTGAGCTGGGGTTTGCACATATGTTATAATGTGTTGTATTTTGTGATTGTAACTAGAAAATTACCACTCTATTTTGGAAAATTTGCCAAATTAAATACAATTCGCAAGAGTATTCGTGCAGGTTACAACCTTTTAAATTTAATTTTGCAGAATACAACACAAAACACACCTAACATTTAAAACTACTATACAAAACTATCGACTCTGACCATTTTAATGAGTGAGTAACATTTGATCTATTCTGTTTTTGACAAAAATAAGTACGAATAATAAGTTTCTAAAATAAATGGAAGAGAATTAGTTCTCCAAAGAGTAAACAAAGACTTGTTACCCACGTCATCAAGTCACAACACTCTACACCTGTGGGTTCCGTGTTTGTCCCAATTGAACCATCGGTTTTAATACCACTTGTTGGGCCTGGGTAATCCACTTTGTTAGGCCACATGCACACCACAACTCCACATTAATTAATACTCCGTATGATATTATTCGTTTTTGCCTTGCCCGTACGGATTTGTTTTTAGACTCCTTTTAAAAGACCGGTCTTATACTAATGGAGTAGGTAGACAATTCTAAGTCATCACTTCCTTATTCTTTCCATGTCCTTGATTGTATACCCCAACAAAGAATGTTTAATCACTCTATTGTTATTTCATCTTATAGTTTGTGCATTGTTAGTAGTTTGCATTTATACCTTCATTATCTTAAATCATTCATTACTAAAAACAGAGCTTTATAGTCTGTTTGTCATTCTTGTATCGATCACGGTTTCCTAATTACCTGTCCTCTGAAGCTTACATTGGCTATTCTTATATGTTATCTTGGATCGAAATAGAAAGAGCCACTACAAGTATCATTCTAATGCATGTTGTAATTAAATTAGTGCAGAAATTTTGCACCTTGGCTGATTGTTCTGCTTGTAGTTCCTGCTGAAATGTGAGTGTTGTAAGAACCCAAAGTCTTAACTGAAACGTGAGTGCATGAATTGCCAAAACAAGTCTAGCTAAATGATGCCACAACAAAAGTTAAGATGGTACTTGTGGACACTAACTTTTCATACTTTTTGTAATTATACGAAACTAATAATACAGTTGTAAAAAAATATATACTATTAAAAAAAGAGTCAAATAGGACAAACGCTAAAGAACGAAGGGAATAGATATAAATGTAAGGTCATTAGGCGCCTAGGCAGATTGCAAATTCTTTTTTCTTTTTCTATAATTACATGCTTTTTAATTTTTTTCTACTTATGTGCTACGTGATTATAAAATTAGATATTTAAAATTTGCCCATGCATTTACGTGCATAGAGTGCTAGTTAAATGGATCAAGAGGCAAAAAAGACAGATCGAGCTCAAACAAAGAATTAAGTAAGATGTTCCATGACCTTTCATTGTTATGTAATGAATGTACATCCCAATTGTTCTTAGGAACTTTTGGGCATACTAATGGCATAAACAATTTTGTATCCACGAATGTGTTGAGCATTTTCACGAGCCACATGCCAATCTGTTGATTACGGCCGCCCTTATTTTCCTCTAGCTTAACTGCTCTCACCATCTTTACAACCTATCTTTGGGAATTTGATCCTTAGATCAAGATTTTGTGGTCCTTTACTCCCAAGTGGCTGCCCTAATTTATGCTCATGTAACTATAATAATCCAAACTAGGTAGCACATAGTAATTGTTTCCATCTTAAATATGCGAGCATTGCATGGACTTAGATCTAATCTATAGGGACTTAATGGCCAACTTGGCATGGTAAGTGACATGACTTGATTGGACACAATATGACATGACACGACAAAATAACTTGAATGTAACATGAAGTGAACACATGCACGAACTTGACATGAATAAATTGATGTACCAGTTCACATAATCACATTTTGATTTATGTTATATTGTTTTTTGTATATTCTAGTAATGTAAATCAATGTAATAACAAATTAAAACTGAATACAACTCATTCATCCAATTAAACTATTGACTTTGCGTCGTGGTTTTAAAGGTATGAGAAGGGGGATCAGATTTGGTGAGAGTCATTCTCCTATCTCGGGATATAAGGTGGAGGTATGTCCAACTCCGACTTTCATTGGTAAGGACACTGGCTAACTTGAGTCCTCTACAATGTCAATTTATACTAGACAAATGATTGGACCTTGATTAGATACCACCAACGACATATACATGACCAATCAAAGAATTTTATTATATGCCTTTTCTGATCATTCTAGTTTGGTTGGTATTTCGTAAAGATAAAGAATACACAGATAGAGTACATAATAGATTTATTTCTTTTCATCTATTAGCAAGCAAGCTAAATCATTTGGTTCAACCATGCATGGTAGTTAGAAATTAAATCATCAGCAGACCTTTTGATAACAAATTGACAAGATTTCTGTACTAATCATATATTATATATTGGTTTTACTTTGATTAAACCTACTTAAATTATAAATCTTTATGAACATTTCGGGGTACTCAATTAATCAACGTGTACCTCTTGAACATTTCTAAATGTACATGGTCTAATAATGATGCTGTCATAGTATTGACACCAATCTAACATTATTGCACATGAAAAGATTTAATTTGATTCAAGTTAATGTTCATACACACATTACAGCTGCTTAGGAGTTAAGAGCCGAAATTGTCATGGCGCACAGTTGTTACACGATAATAAATGGTATCATGGTAACGACATTAACGAATTGATGATAATAAATGGTATAATAAATGGTATCATGGTAACGACATTAACGAATTGATGATAATAAATGGTATCAATGTAATAAGTTTATATGTACTTTTTTTTCTCGTGCTTTTTAAAAAAGAGAGAAAGTGAAAGCAGAAAACAGACAAAATGTTCCCTTTCACTACATGTATCATTCAGTTTATTAATAGTACATTAACTAGACCACCAAAAAAAGAGGAGCAATATTGAGACACAAATGGAAAACTTGACATCTAAAACATAAAAAAAAAGACCATGATAACTCAACCACTACTACCCAAAAAATAAAGTAACAAATTTAATGAGACTACACTAGAAACATCGAACACTTAAATCTATCTAAACATTTGCATTACGATATTTTTACCCTTATGAGTAAGGTCTCCTAATATTTCGGGGCTTTTTTAAGAGAGAAGCCAAGCGAACATAGCTTGTTCTTTCTCAGCATCTAAATCAGAAGAAAGATCAGAAAAAACAGAAGGCTCTTGCAAATGATCATCATTTTCACATAACCAAGAAATGAACTGCTCCTTCTCATCCCACAGCTTGAAATCTTGGCCGATACAATCGACGGTCCCGATCTCCCAATCCCAATCAAATCCACCATGATGATCAAAGTTTGATGATGATGAAGCTGTTGATCTTGATCCTCCACCATTAGACCCTGTGGATGTACTCACGTTATTATTATTACTATTGTGTTGATTATGATTTTGATCTTCTGCAATTGGGCTCATTCCCATAGGTCCATTACTCTCACTAGGGCCCACACTATTCTCTTCATTTGTGGTTCCTAAAAGCCCATCAAGGCCCATTATTTCTTCAATACCCAACAACTCTGTTTCCTCTTCATTAAACATTAAATTCTCATTTTCCACCTCCTCCCTAATATTCTTCTTCTTCTTCTTCTTATTATTATTATTATTATTATTATTATTAGAAATTTTATTCTTGGGTATACTAAAGTTTTTATTTCCCATTAAATTGCTCATCTCTTGGGTGGGACCCACTGTTGCTAGAACATTAGTAACAGTGTTGTTGTTGTTGTTGTTGTTGTTGTTGTTGTTGATGAGGGCTATGTTGTTTCTATTCCTTTGCATAGCAGCCCTGCTTGTTCGGCCCCCACGGCGCTTAGGTGGCGCGCTCGCATTGCTCATGTTTATGATGATTTTGCCACCATTAGCATCTCCATTGGGCCTTCTAAATGTATGGATTTTCCTGCTCAAATGAGAGTTCCAATAATTTTTAATCTCATTGTCTGTTCTTCCTGGTAGTTGCCCAGCAATCATGGACCACCTGCATATATATTGTGTTAGCCATTTAAAAACAATGTAAATAATTCACATAATTATTAATCTAAAGGTCCTATTTGTGTACCAAGGTAATAATAGCTAGGGTCCGATCATATAGTTATTACCAAACGAATGAGACGGACATGTATGTTTGTAGTCGTATTTAGAGACTAACTAGCATATACGAGTAGGATCTTTTTTATGTCAAAAAATCATAATTATATCCGATTTAACTATTTATGTTGGAGGAATTTTAACTTATCTTCACTGAACTAAACTTTTGAAAGCGATAGTGGTAATCATGTGTTGACCTCGTGTACTCAAATCGATAGCCACGTCGTGTATGTCATGGTGTAGGGTTATTTTTCTCTCTTCATGCTGTTAGGGGTGGCCACATTACAAGTCATTCTCAACTAAAAAGCAAATATGTCCGGAAAACAAATCATTAAAGTAAATAGGCCCAAAGATTACCAACTTGCGTAGGAAAAAAAATGACAAATTATTAGATAGTCATCATTTTTTATTTAGTTCCTTTTCTTAAAAGTTTGATTTCTACCAACGATCTTGGAGTCTTTTACTTGTCAAATGGTATAAAATTATGCCTTACGATACAACTGAAACGTAAATAAGTCATAATTTCGTCATACATTTCCAATTTAACACCAAATTTAAAAATTAAGCATACCCTGTAATCACGAGTTATAACTTATGATTAGCAAAAACGCTAAATTATATAGATTATATTACTTAGACATGTAAAATGGATGATATTTTAAAGCTCAACCGCCTTATTCTCTTTATATGATTGTTTCTCATTGATTTGCTAGAACTCCCTAGAGTCCCCACGGTCCCATAATTTTAATTAAGTGAAATGGCTCTTTTTGAGTGAAATGACCCTCTTGGCCCATACTACTTTTCTCATAAACCATATGAATCTCTTCATTTTACTATAGGTAATCAACAAATTTCATATATTTGTAACATTGATCAGTTTAAACTTATTAATGATAATATATGTACTTCTTTATGTGTTTGTATGTACATTTATGCACAAGTATAATCATATATGCTTTTGCATGGAATTCACCTTTTTATTTACTAGAATCAATTATGAATAAATCATGCAACACAAGTCTACAAATTTTATTAAAGATAATCTCTTTTTAGAAAGCTTTAGAAAAAATACGTGTTTATTAAAGGGAGTAATATTTTATTATATGTATGGACGTTGATTTTTTTAAAACGTTAAAAGATACTTGAAAAGTGCGGGTTTGAAAAGACATTATAAAAAGTTTTATAAGTCGTTTTTATTTAAGATACGTTCAAAAAGTCTGATGTAACTCGCACGTTTTATATTTATAATAAAGCTACTCTGTAATATGTGATATTCAGTAATACTAAAAATACATCCTTGTGAATCGTGTCTATTAATTTAAATTAAAATCATGCATATTAGTCAAGTACAAATAATTTTTTTCCTTATTTAATTAATTTTACTGAATTTCATCCATGATAATCCGACTCACAAGTTTCTAGATTATCCATGCATTGTATAGTCCGCGTGTTTGTGTGAGTGGACAGACACCCAACAAGGTTCATTTTGTAAGAACAACCTTATAATTAATTTAGGAAAATGTTATACATAGCCCTAAGGGCTACATATAAGCATTTAATTTTCTCTTGAAAATTGTTTAAATTTAGAAAATCATGACAAAAACACACTAATTACACCGATTTGCGCGTGTTTTTGTCATGAATTCCTAACTTTATACATTTTCCAAGAGTAAATTCAATGCTTATATATAGCCCTAAGGGCTATGTATAGCATTACCCATTAATTTATGATGATATAGACTATGCAAGCATACCTAAATTATTTATTTATTTACTACACGTAAATATACCTCATGGCCTTAAATTACACAATGAAATATCATAAACTAAACTATATTATTTATTGGGTAAAATTGACTATACATCGCATATTTTCAGTGTATATATTAATAATTTTACACTACGTGCAAAGAAACAAGCCACACCTCACCGGCCCACTTTCACAGTCCAAAAAGACCGGGATGCTTTAAATGATACATCAACTAACAATATTAATTGTAAAGAGACTAAAGACAGTATCATAAGACATTAATAAATAGAAAGTGAATGTTTTTATGGTGACACCCTTTAAATTGCAAAATATATGAGAGTCACTAGTCACTACTAAAAGTACTAATACACTCGGTAAATTACAATGACCGATTAAATTGTAAATATACATATCACGGTGAATTAACTTTAACAGAATTGCAGACGTCTAATCTCTAAAAAAGTCGAGGTTATATTTCATTTAGGATAATTTTTTTAAAGTTGTGAACATTATTTGACCTTGTAACCAAGTAATATTACTGTACTTGTTTTAAAATTTCTTAAAAAAAAAATAAAAATAAAGTGTTGCAATGGAAAAAGAACTGACCTATTACCCATAGTAGAATGGAGTTTGATAATGATCTCTTCTTCATCGGGTGTGATATTTCCTCTCTTTAAATCGGATCTCAAATAATTTATCCATCTTAATCTACAACTCTTTCCGCACCTCAATAACCCTACATGCAATTTGAAACAGTGCAAAATTAGTTTTGGGATTTCCAAAAAAAGCCAAACCTTTAAAAAAGTAAATGATGCCAAATGTAAAATTCATTTATGTGATTCTGATCCTCATTATAAACATCAAGTAGGCTACTGAAACTTTTAGGACGGCATATGCTCACAGAAATACAGAATTATATAATTTTATTTTAATTATTTTTTTTACAAGAAGAATTATTTAATTAAAATTTTGTCTTTTAATAAAATTAAACAATTTTTTTATGGGTTCCACGAATTTAATTGTTTTTGGAAATAAAGATTGACAACCAAACTGAAGGTGATACATTTCATTTCATCAATCTAATGAAGTTTTTAGGACCAATTCCAGCAATATTTATTTGCACGCAATTTAATATCATCACAATAATTGTTTAACACTTACAAAGTTTTATCAAAATATATAAAAGCATTCCCTTATGTCATTTTCAATAGGTAATTACTGTTTTTGTCCTAGACAATTTATCTTTGTTTGCTTTTATCACATCAAAGTTGACTACCTTTAACCATATATCAATTTATAACCAATGACACAACCAAATTAGTAGAAATTAAATAAAGAAATTGGGGACCTAATTCTTTTTTTACTAAAATACTAATTAGTTAGCTCTAATAATTAACTAAATTTAATAAAAAAAAATATATATAAAAGTACATTATATACTTCTAAAATATATGAGTTCACATATTAATAATCTTTTTCTTCATAATAAAAAAAGACGTAGGAAATAAAATTAATAATTAAAATGAAGTAAAACCTGCATTTTTAGGCAATGATCTCCAAGACCCTTCTCCATTTTCTTGAATATATTTCAACAACTTATTATCTTCCTCCTCCGTCCACCTCCCACGCTTCAACCCGACTTTCTCACAACACGGCGCTCTTCCCATCTCCGTGTACGTTTGTCTCAAGCTAAGCAAGCTATCGAGCTCGGTCGATAATAAGAAGGATGGAGATCGACGACGAACCGAATAATATAATGTGACAATAACTAAGTATGTATGTAATAATAACCAAGCAAAAGAAGAAAGAAAGAAAAGAAGATCAAAGATTTAGGTGTTTTTAGAAAGGAAAGTTTGTTAGAGTACTTGTAATAATATTTGGTGTGTTTTTTTTTTTTTTTTCTTAAGAGTAGAGTGTGATATTGCATGGGAGTATAGTAGAAGTGTGCTATATAGTATAAGTTTATAGTTATATAAATATGTGTACCGCAAATTTTAATATAAAGTGTGATAGTATATAACTATATATATACTAGTATATTTTTTTATTTTTTTTTTATGCAAAGTATATAACTTATATAATGGTTCACGAAATATAAGAAAGTGAAAAAGTTTATGAAAAGTGGAAGTAAAAGTGGGGCCATATTAATGGATTAACGGTTGTGGATTGGGCCACGTCGACAAGGAAGTGAAATAAGGAGTCGTGGCATTTTGTGGGTCGAGACTCGAGAGCCTCGTGACGGGGCTTTCCATCCCCAACGTTGAAGTCTAGTTTCTTACTTTCTCTCTCTAAAAACTCTTGCTTTCTCTCTCTACAAATGCTACCTTCAATTTTTTATTTTTCATTTTTTTTTTTTGAAATTTTTTTTACTATCTAAGTTCTACACTTCTACTTGTAGTTAAGGACAATCATTGTTTGGACAAATTACTACTTTGATGGCTAGAGATTTGGGTTGTTAGTTATTAATGTAACAAATTACAAAAAAGTCACTCATTGGAACTAAAAATAAAGTTGGGTTTGTCTATGGAGTTCTTACCCTAAATTATGGGTTCGAATCTTACATCGTTATTGGGATGGAGATTATGCTATCAATTTTTGTTCAAGAAAAAAAAAAAAAAAATTATGCTATTGATTTCATTCTCTTCTCTCAACTCTTAATGGTCTATAAATATTGAGCTTTAAAAATTGTAAATTTTTCTAACTAATTAAAAATGGGAAGGTAGATAGAGTTGTCAATTGGATTATCGATTGAAAGACATTGATTAAATGAACATATAGGTGGAGCGAGATTTATTAATTTAATAAAAACTAATGAAACTCTTAATATATTTATTATTTAGGAATTAGGATAGATATATTTAGGACAGATATATGACAATTCGGATAAGAAAATACAAGTAAGGCCTTGCTTTTTTTTTTTTTTTTTTGGAATAAAAATTGATTCATAAATAAAAAATTATAAGACATATATAAAGAGATTTAAATATAATAAATATATGACAATTGAATAAAATAAAAGCTTCCTTTCAGCAAAGCTACGATCATTGTTGCAAATCTTACATTCTTCATACCCTCTTTTATATCGCTGTGATTTACAACTTTTTTTGACGAGGGGGTCTATCGATTTGTTGTAGTCGTGAAGAAAACTTTCGTCTGATTCATCTGATTGTAATCGATGGATTAACCTCTTTTTCGATCTCGCACATATCTTTACCCATGAAACAACTTGTACCATATTAAACTCAAAAAACAAAAACAAAAACAAAATTAGAACAAAGCCCACCATAGGGGCACTTTCTACACTCAAATCCACTGGGATACTTACTACCTTCAAAGAGTGTAGATTTATTGAATTCAATAACAAAAACATACATAAATTAAAGGGAAAGTGTAGGAAATAGCCAAATTTACGGAGAAATTTGACTACTTCCGGCCTATGAAACACTTTTTTCGAAGAACCTTAGAGAGAGGAAACTGGAGAGGAGACGACAAGAGTTTTAATTTTTTAGCGGCTTTCGAATTAGTCGCAGTAAGGCCTTGTTTAGTTTAACTTATTTTTACTTATTTAAAAAAAAATCAGATCAGATATATCGTTTTATGTGCGGTTTTTTATTGCTAAATATCTTTGATTTCGTACTGAAAAATTATGAAAATTACATATTAATAAAATACATATTATTACAAATCTAACAAGATCCTACGTGATATATTTTTTCTTTATAGAATATCGTACATGTTAGGTCAAAGTTTAGTCAAATCAGACAATCAGATTAGATCAGATCAAACCAGATCAGATCAGATCAAATAAGCAAAAATAAGGTGAACTAAACAAGCTCTAATATAGCTTTAATATTATGATTTTCGATCAATAAACTACACACAAGAGGTTGTTATATACATCCGGTTGTACCGTACACCCATAAGTACTAGTTCTCATCATTTGGATAATTGTTTTTCATTTTATCATCAAATGAAAAGCAAATATACGATACACCCGGGTGTATATAACAAATCCTAACTACACACAAAACTTATAATGCGTAAATTAAATTATAACTCTTCGTTAAGTATTATCACTAGCTACATAAGTTGTGTTCTTTTCACTAATTTTTTTACCGGAGTATATTTGACCTTTTATGGTTTGAACTATTTTTCATGAAACAATTTCATTTTCATAGAATTAGCATGTTTTCATGGAATAAACATTTTTTTAAAGTAACATATTTACACTAATATAAACATGACTAATCTAAACTTATTTGATCTACTTATATATTAATATAATAAATATTTATCTTAACGTATTCAAACTTAATTGACATATTTTTCTAAAAACTTATCTAAACACCACTTATGTTTCCTAAATCTAATTTGTGAACTCATTTTAATAAGATAGAACAAATCTTTATACTAGATATAGTCATATAGAGGCCTAGGAATATGTTTTATAATCTATTACTCTCTCTCACACGAGAGTCCATTGGGCTTGAAGTGTAGATGTAGCATAGGCTCCATCATACCCAGCGATTAATATTCCACTTTGAAAGGATGGGTGGATGAGATTCGAAGCCGTGACCTTTGTGTTACGCTAGCTTCGATACCATGTTAGAGCACCAACTCAAGGTTAAACTGATGGTTGAGACTCAGGAATATGTTTTATAATTTATCATTATCAATAATATAATCTTAAGATGATCTTTTCGACTTTGTACAATATCGATACTCTATTCTTAATAATGTCATTAAATATCAACAAATATTGATTGGTGAAGTGTCTGAATATTTACAATTTAATGACAGGTTAATAATTACAATAATTGAATCTTAATTAAAAAAAAATATGTGCCATAAAAGTAGCCGCCACATGTACTTTGTACGTAGCTAACTTAGAATGCATGTCATTAACAATATATCACTTAGGAAAAAGTTGTTAGCCTTCATAAACTAGCTTATTATTGGTTCATGAATGGTTTTAATTACCATCTCCTTAATATCAAATAATTGTTAATTAAGTGCTATATTTATATCCAATTCATTCCATCAAAGTTAATACATTGTACAATGAATCAATCATGTCCTAGGACAACTATAACTTATGTATTTTTAATATGATCGTACTTACTAAGCTTGAGACGGAGAAAAAGAAATTATTTAGTACGTACGTACTCTAATACTTTTACGCAATGTGAAGAGCTTACTAAGCTTTGAGTATATTTTTATCGTACATATAGTGGTACATATCATTATTTTATTTATGAGTAGAGGTGTAAATGATAAGTGACACCCCCATTAATATTTTAGGCTCAACTTCAGCTAAAGATCATCTACGCGTATTTTATATGCTAGTAATTGGTCGATTTTACCATTTATATATTCTTACTAAGCTTAGTAGTGGCAGTAAAAATAAGATAAAAACGGTCCAATATATGTACCGATATTAGGTCTACACTTGATTTCGTGGTACCAATTTATTGGCAGATAATTAAGAAACATAAAGAAAAAAAAAATGGTTATTAAATAACCATGCAATACCATTGAAAATTAAAGGTGTTTCCAAATATAGGGAAAAATAACTAATGGTAATAAATATTGCAGGCTAAATTTTAAATGGCTTAGGTTGTTTTAGGAAAACTATAAATTGAGCATTTCCTTCATTTGTATGTAATAATTCAAGAAAAAATCTGAGAGAAGAAAAATAATTCAGAGAAAAGAGTGGTTGTGTTTTTTGCACTTTGGTATAAATAGACATTTTGTTTATGTAATTTATTTCTCCCTCAAATTTGATTAAATAGAAAATTTGCATTATTTTCTTAACAATTGGTATCAAGAGCTTGGTTGACAATTAGTCCACATTACGATAAAAATAAAAACGATCCTAAAAGAAAAAGTCAAATTTGAGTGGGAGAAATGGCTGCAGACAAAGGAGAAGTTAAACTTGAAAAATTCGATGGTAAAGATTTCGGATTTTGGAAAATGCAGATTGAAGATTATTTATACCAGAAAAAACTCTATCAACCTCTGGAAGAGAAAAAGCCAGATGGCATGCAAGAAGCAGAATGGAAGCTTTTAAATAGACAAGCACTCGGAGTTATTCGATTGACGTTATCACGCAATGTGGCGTTTAACATTGCAAAGGAAACCACAACGGCAGGTCTCATGAAAGCTCTCTCTAATATGTATGAGAAGCCATCAGCCTCCAATAAAGTTCATTTGATGAGGCGGTTGTTTAGTTTGAGGATGTCGGAAGGTGGATCGGTAGCTCAACACCTTAATGAACTCAATTCTGTCACAACCCAATTGAGTTCTGTTGAAATCAAATTTGATGATGAAGTATTAGCGTTAATACTTTTATCTTCCCTGCCAGATAGTTGGAACGCTACAGTCACAGCTGTGAGTAGCTCATCGGGAAATAACAAGTTGAAGTTTGATGACGTTCGTGATCTGGTTCTTAGTGAGGAGATTCGACGAAGAGAATCAGGTGAATCTTCATCCTCTTCAGTATTGCATACAGAGTCAAGAGGAAGAAATTTAATCAGAAGGAATGAACGCGGAAGATCAAACTATCGAGGACAATCCAGAGATAGGAGGTCAAAATCCAGGAATCCAAATAATTTCCAAAACTCAAAGACTATGGAGTGTTGGAATTGTGGAAAGATTGGGCACTATAAAAATCAGTGCAAGGGAACACCAAAAGGCAAAGAAGTGAAGGCAGAGGCAAATGTCACTTCTACCGGAGAAGGTGATGATGCGTTGATATGCTCATTGGAGAGCAAAGAAGAGTCTTGGGTATTAGACTCTGGAGCATCGTTCCATGCTACTTCTAATAAAAACTTTTTTGAGAAGTATGTCCATAGAAACCTTGGACAGGTATACCTTGGTGATGACCAACCTTGTGATATTGTTGGTCAAGGTAATGTCAAAATTAAGTTAAATGGGTCAGCTTGGGAGCTGAAGGATGTCAAACATGTTCCCGACCTAAGAAAGAACTTGATCTCAGTTGGGCAGTTGGCTCGTGAAGGTTACACTATAATCTTTCAAGGTGACAATTGGAAGATTTCAAAGGGAGCAATGATAGTTGCTCATGGTAAAAAGAATGGTACTCTCTATTTGACAGCTGGAGCGTGTTATTCGATTGCAGTTGCAACAGAGAATGAAAATTCCAAGTTATGGCACCAAAGACTTGGTCACATGAGTGAGAAAGGAATGAAGATCATGCATTCAATTGGAAAACTCCCTAGTCCAAAATCTGTGAATTTAGACATGTGTGAAGAATGCATACTTGGAAAGCAGAAGAGGGTAAGCTTTCAGACATATGGAAGAACTCCAATGAAAGAAAAATTGGAGCTTGTTCATTCTGATGTGTGGGGACCAACAACCACCTAGTCTATAGGTGGAAAACAGTACTTTGTGACTTTTATTGATGATCACTCTAGGAAAGTATGGGTTTACTTTCTAAAATACAAGTCCGAAGTGTGTGAAGTTTTTCAGGATATGGAAAGCTAGGGTTGAAAATGAAACAGGTCT